AACGAAATAGAGTTAGAAAAGTAATAAGAAAAGGAAAACAACAATCATGGGAGCGTAAAGGCCAATAAGTAGAAATTTACATAGGTGTAACAAAAACAAGTGAGATTTGGAAGTTCATAAAAGAGGTAAAATCTCCCCAAATGGAAAAAGTCCGCACACAAAGTATATCTGTAAGCAAATGTGAAGAGTACTTTAGAAAATTATTAAATGAAGGAAGAATAGACTTTCTTGGAACTACAGAAAGGGAAAAGATATCTCCGGCAAGGGAAATTACAGTAACCGAAGAGGGGGGTAAGAGATGTATCAAAGAAATGAAAGGCGGTAAACCTCCGGGTCCAGGAGAAATCCCAAGCGAACTTATAAAGAATGGAACGACAAAGCTAGTGCGAAGATGACGAAGCTAATGAATGGGTGTATAAATAAAGGTGATAGGTGTATCCACCAAGACTGGAAAATGGCTTATATAACACCAATATATAAGAAAGGAAGGAAAGACATGTGAAAATTATAGAGGGATAGCAGTGACAAAGACGTTCAGTAAGGTATATGGAAGAATATTAAGAGAATTAATAGAAGATGGATACAAGGAGTACGAAGAAGAAGAAGAACCAAGTGGATTTAGGGCAGGTCGATCTTGCTTAGATAACCAGTTTTGTCTGTCCCAGGTGATGCAAAAGAAATGGTAAACAGGGAGAGAACTTCACATGATCTTGCTTGATATAGCAAAGGCGTATGATAGTGTGCCAGTAATAAAGTTATGGAAAGTTATGAATAAAAGTAATGTAAATAAAATCTTAATAAACGCTGTGAAGAAATTGTATATACGGCAAAGATGCCGTTTGTCACCTACCCTTTTTAAAATGTATGTTAATGCGGTTTACATATGTGGAAAAGAAAATGTGCTAAATAGGAATACTACTTGATGATAATACAACACTCTATACCCTACAGTTCGCTGATGATCAGGTGCTGATGGCGCAAGAATAACAAGATATTGAATATATGATTAGGAATATAAAAGACGATTATGAGAAATAGGGACTAAGCCTCAACCTAGAAAAACAGTATACTGGACTACACAGAATACTGGCAATACACATGACGTATTGACTATGGAAACTGGAGAAATAATAAGAACAATAGAGGACATAAAGTACTTGGGAACAACAATAGAAAAACAGGGTATTTATGGAAAGGAATGTAAAACCCGACTCATTAAATGAAGAAAGATTTTAGTAGCCCTGAATGCAGTTATCTAGGATCCAAATATAAGTAAGAAAACAAAAATTAGATTATATAAATGTATGATTGAAAGTGTTACATTGTATGGAGCTTCCAGAACAACAGAAAAGAAAATTGAGAGCTTTGGAAATGGATTTCCTCAGAAGAGCTGCAGCAATATCTAGAAGGGAAAGAATTAGGAATGAACAGGTTAAGGGAATACTGAATCTGCAACATATTATAGAGGAAATTGAAAAGAAACAACTCACTTGGTTTGGACACTACAGCGAATGGGCGAGAAAAGACCTTTTAGAACGGCCACCTAGTGAAAGGCGAAAACGAGGCAGACTAAGACTAGGATGGAACGACCAGATCAGAAAGATAATCGAGAAGTGGAAATTACCTCCTGATTCCTGGAAGAACAGAGAAGACTGGAGAAGAAGATAGGCGCCGGAAGACCGAAGTAGCGGTTAAGAAAACGGCAAGAAGAAAAGAGTAAATTTGCATTAATTACAAAGTCATGCAAGAGTGATATATGGCCATGGTGTACAGTACAGAGAGATCTCAGTAGATGTATACAAAACAATGATGAATGTTAATGAACAGACTAGGTGATTAATAGAGGCATGATAAAGATGTTCTTTTATTATAAGAGGTATGACAAAAGTTGCAATTAATCAAGCGTTGGGTCATATCATTTGTTGGTCAATTCCATGTTCAAATGTTTATTATGATATTTTACCATGTATAATAAATTATCTTTTTGTATTACTAAGAAAACCAAGGATTGTCATATGTACCAGTAGCATTATCAAGGTGATTCCCATTCAAAAGAATCCCTAGAACCCAACAGACATTTATTGCCATTTTCAAAAGTAGAAAGGAAATAATATGTGACAAATTATCAAACAAAAGGTACGTTCGTACCTTTACCTGATAATTTGTAACATACTATCATACATAACAACATTATTTGTATACCCTATACTTTACTACATAGCGTGGCTGGTGCGCCTCCATCTTTGCAACAAATTCAAGTAATGTTTATTGCATTCAGGCGTTGAGAATACGACATTATGATAAGGCGGTTCTCAAAATTTCCCAAGACGATAAATGTCGCATCTGCAAAAACAAGTAGAAACCATTGATCATATCATCTCAGCTTGTCCAATTCTAGCGAAGACCGAATACTTGAAATGACACGACAGTGTGTGTAGTTACCTCCACTGGCAGATCTATACCGCCCTCGAAGTCCCAAACACATGCGCCAAGTGGTACGAACACTTGCCAAAACCGGTGACATCTGTTAGACTCTATGTTGTACCACCAACAAATTCAAACGGATCGCACGATAGCAGCAAACAAACCGGACATTGTTATCCGGTATTTGGAAAAAAATCGTGTATACTTGTAGATGTTGCTGTGCCTTGCGATCAAAACGTAATAACCAAGGAGGCAGATACACGTCTTAATTACAAGTGTTTAGAAATCGAGATCAGCGAATGTGGGAAGTAAAAGCGCAGGACGTCCCGATAGCCATCAGAGCTCAATATTTGTGTAAGAACTTGGCTAAACTTCCATGTCATTTAAAAGTCAGGGAAGTGCAAGAAATTGCTGTGTTTGGAACAGCCCACATTTTGCGCAGTGTTGTAGAGGCACCGACAGTCACTAGATCTGTTCCTGAGGTAGCTATTTGCAACCAGGAGTAGATTTTATATTCAGTCGACCCATAATATCTCAGTCGTGATGTAGAGAAAATAATAATAATAATAATAATAATAATAATAATAATAATAATAATAATAATAATAATAATAATTTACGACAAAGTGAAACCTATTCAAGACTATATTCTGTATTTAAATGCATCACAATACAATGCTTTACACTACATCATTGTTTTCGCCATTAGAGCTCCATTCATCTGTACGCCTTCTTAACGACTTTGTGTTGCGCTGAACGGCACTTGACTCCAAACGTCCTTTGTGTAGTTTTTGATAGGTGCAAAATAACTTATAGAAATGGAGTTTACATATAAGTGGCTGCTGCAGAAACTTTTGAGCGTGGAACTGATAACCTAGTAATAAATTGCACTTATTTTCTACGCTTTGGAAAAAATTAGAAAAGAAAGCGTCGTGGAAATTCACCACAAATTTAATTATAAATTTTGCACAGATCATTTTCTTGTCGAATAGAATCGGAATACGGAGTAGAAGCAGAAGAAATTAAACTTTCGAAAACTAACCCTACAGCGAGGGTTTGGCAGTATTTAAATAATTGTATTTGAAATACGTATTTTAAATCGGAATACGAGTTGAAAGCTGAAAAAATACACTTTCGGAAAACCCCATAACCAGAGTGGGCAGTGTTATTTATTTTAGAAGCCAACTGGACATCCCATTAAGAGCAATGCCCTCTCACTTGAGCAGGGAATTATTAATACTTCTTTAATGAAATGATAGGAGAATAATGAGTGGTAAAGGGAAGTTCACAACTACACCCATGCCCGAGGTGGGTTTCGAACCCGTGACCCTTCGATCCGAGATCGCCACGACACTGTAGCCTTAGCGATCTCAACTATCTGGATCAACATTTAAATACTAGCAGTATTTAAATATAGCCAGGATTGGGCAGTATTCTATTAAAAAACTAACAGTTTTCTACTCCTGGATTTGTCCGATTTGTTTCACGCTTATTTTCACATCAATATTTAATTCATCTGCTATCTTTGCGTTATTAAATATTTCTATGAAGTGTTTATCTGCTTCTTTTACACGATTCTCGAAAGTTACAATCAATGACTGCACAATTTTGCAGCTTTTATCGGCTCAATAATTACTTTCCCGTATACGTACGTATATACGGAGAATTATACGTACTATAGGGAAAGTTATGTAATGCTGCCGAAAATCGATTTCGAGATTTTAACGGAAAGACACGTTTTGGGCTCCTCTGATACCGAAAAGTGTTGTTTTTAAACGTCCGTCTGTCTGTCCGTCCATCCGTCGGTGAACACCGCTAGCACCTAAACCATACGTAGGATTTTTTCCAAATTGAAGAAACCCATGTCCATCTGGCTAGAGCCAAAGCTTTGAGATTTTGAAAAAAATCTCTAAAATCTTGGGGTACTTTACATGAAGCCCCCGAACATTTTGAAAACTTTCTTAAAAACGACTCCAAATTTTTTCTTTACATTTATTGTAAGATTAAATAAAATACACTTATAAAGGTGGCATAGGTCCAATTTTCAGGTTTAACTCTGAATTTTCGAAAATTTCAAAATTGTTTGGGCGTTTTCCTACAACTACAAAATTGAAGATAGAGACTTTTTCCTTCAAATAAAATTTGTTCTCCGTAAATATATTGTTCTAGACATGTTTATTGAATAGTCTACATACAAATCATAGTCCAAAACAATAGCCCGAAAAACATACAGATTAATATGTTTTGAGTCTTCATAATGCCTTTATTTATGTTAAAAAAAGGAATGGTGAAAACGAGCGGAAATATGTGAAATTTGAAAGTCGCGCTCAAAATGTAGGTGAAAGCCACTCCCAGAGCGCTTAGGTGGCCACGCCTCCTATCAATTTCTCCGGAAGTTCGCCCAAGGGATTGTGAGGCCTCGGAGAAAGACCTAAATCATATTATAAATAATTTAAAATCAATAATAAATAAAATTATTTGAAATTACATTTCTTCTTAAACGATTGCATAATCGGCAATGTTAATTTATTTGAAAGAAAAAACGCGGAATGTCAATGTAAAAAAACGTATTTTCAAAGAGAATACATAATCCTTCAGAATTGTTCCCACAGTATTTTATATCCTTTAGAAACGCACCCGTTGGCCGCGCCCACGAATGCTTTTGGGCGGAAGGGTTTGGGGTTAAGTGTCAATTGTGCATCTGTGGTATGCAATGCTTATGTTGGTGGTTGTAACCAGGCGTACCAGGCGGTTACGTTAATCTGTGTTGGCGGTAGTGGCCGATGTCTGCCGATGTTTGAGTAGAATCCGGTGCAAGGTGGGGCTGTGTTGTATGTCTCTTTGCTTTGATTCTGGAATTTGAATGTTAAAAACCAGAGGTTGTGTCTCAGTTGAATAAGTTTTATCATGTCTGCAGTAAATACCACGGGCTCTCCTCTATTTGAAAAAGAATTTGGTGATTTCACTGCATTTTACATTGCCATTACAATTTGTACGGTGTTGGGTGGCTTCCTTTTTATTCTGAACATCGTATTTTGTTGCTGTTCAAAATACAAGGATTACTGGCAGGATAGTGATACAGGTATTATTGTAATTGTTTGTTTAAAGGAAATACGCGTTGACGAGAGTAGTAAATTTTGAACGTGTGAATAAAACATACTTAATGTCATGTGTATTTTGTTCCTAGAAGACTTCGTTGGGCTTTCATTTTAAAAATGTTTGCATTTTGTGTGTGTAGGAAATCGCTGGCTTGTTTCTCTGTGGACGAAGACTCCCCATAACACATCTCCTCTTGATTACACAGAATTGGAAAAGAGTTACATTGTTATACCACGAAGTCATCAAATTGAAGAACCTGGTGGCTACATAGAATTGCAGAAACGAGAAAGTGATCTGTAATTTGCAACATGTTTCACATTTTTTGGCCAGCAGTAACTGCTTTAACTATGTTTGTTTTGATGATAATAATTGTTATTATTAAATATGGGCCTAGGCTTTGCCACACAAGACACACTACTAAGCCAATGGATGATGATTGGGAAATAAGAGCTTACGAACAGAAAGTCTCTTGTGCTTAACGAAGCACTAGTTGGGATGCCGCAATGAAAAAGTAAATAGAATAGTTGTGCATCTGTAACGCTCTACTATTTGTTATATTTTAGATTGTAATGTCATGTGTAAAAGAATGTAAGAGTACAGAAAGGTTCATTATTCCAAAGAACCTACTTGCACAAATTGGACAGCCTTGTGTGTCAATTAATGAAAATTAAGTTTTTCATTTAAAGTGAAAAAAAGTCTGTTGAAATCCGTCCTGAAAATGATTGTATGTAGCAGTGAGGGGTAACTAATGTTATGCAAGGTAATCGTACAAATATTTGACTGATCATTATGAGTTAAGCTCATGTTAATCTCATTACTTGATTTCAAAACCTGATTGAACAGTTAATTTATCATTATTTACATTTGTTTTTCAAAGTATGTCCTTCTGTCTGTTGTTTAAATTTTGAATTGCAGAAGGTATTTTTAAGACTACTATGCCACAGTATTAATCACAAGCAAATTTTCCCTTTACGAATTGAACTTTCTAGTTCCAGTTACATGAAGTTATAAAATATTTCTTATAATATTCACCCAAGACAACAAAATTATTTGTAAGAAAATCTTGGTAATGGCTCGTCGAGCATTTTATAATTTAAAAATACAATTTTTGCAATGGTAGGTACTACACTTTAGTGTTCTTGATTGCCTTGTGCAACTTTGTCTCGAATATATTTGTTATTCATTCAGCCATTTCACAATGTGACTGTTGGTGTTTGATCAGGATGTGTGTATCTGATGGGAGAGCTTACCTATATCATTTCACAACTGATAAAAAGTTATATTTACTCCAGAAAGTTTCAAATCTGAAATCTTTGTAATTTTGATTCTTAAATTTTAATCTTGCAAGTTTTTATCAGGTGTACATATACAAAAAATGTAGCTTATAATGAAGTTTTACAACTTTGTTATTATGTAAACGGTTCATGTAGAGCTAGTGTATTGGTCTTAAATAACTTCCATCGCAGAATAAAAGGTCCTCTTTTTTTTTAATGCAGCACTGGATTAACATGTTACAGTAATAATTTGTTGTCCAAAAGAGGTTATTTCTGATAAGTTTCTTTTGTAAATTTTAGAAATACAAATTTTAGCAATGTAAAGTAAGAAATGGATCTCTTGACGTAATGTGTAACAGTTACAATCTTGTATATTGGAATTCTTATTTTATTCATTTGTTAATAAGTTCAGTGTACTAAAAGATTTTAATGAAATGTTTCTATTGGTGCAAGTTGCCACAAACATTGATAAGACAAGTGTTTGCAGGAAATGTCTTCCACCGCTTTTCAGAATTTTAATAGAGAGCTTCAGTGAATTTCATTAGTTGTTAAATTTATCAGCATGCAACATGCACATTTCCTAAAATTAAAAACAAATTCTTCATGCATTAAACACAGGTTATTTCTTTCTTAATTCTAAATTAAAACAACCGTAAATACTTTTGCAATACATGAACTGTGTCTCAAATTGTCTGTTAGATTCTTCAATACCAATTGTTACTTTTGAGTTCCCTCAGTGAGTTCTGTAATATAGTTAGTAAGCTCTTGCTTCTGCAAAATATCCCAAACTGAAGGAAGAGAAATTTAATAATAATCTTGATTTCCTTCTGAAAAATTGTCAAATTCAGGTGCACTATACACCCTGATACATTCGGTATATGAAAATTAACGTTCCTTGGTGCATGTGTTGAGAGCTGTGAAAAGAAAGTTTTCTTGCACTGAATATTTAAAAGCAATTTTAGATTGATAAGACCTATGTAGAGGGTAATCCTACAATAATTTATACTTGGAAGTTGTTTTCTCACAATGCTCAGAATATGGTCAGTAAATTTGAATTATTTGTTTTAGTAACAATAATGAATTGTTTTCAATGATTGCAAAAATGTTAATATAATTTCTATTATTAATGCAGCAGAGCTACTGATCTAAAAATAAGCATGTTAATTGGTGTACATGGTATGTACAATGTATATTTGATGTGTGGTATTTTAATGGAAACGAGTAAATTTGGAGGGCTGTTCTGTGACCGCCATACTTATTTTACTATGAGTGTATTTGTGCTTCATCAGCACTTTTTGAAACATTTGTACTATTTCATAAAGATCTTCTGTATGTGCAGCTAGAAATTTTTTATATCACTATTAATTATAGATATTGAATAAGAATGTTATGTCATTCCGTCCATTTATATTTTCTTTACTTTTCTTAATATGAACATTATTTTATACAGTAAATAGAAATAATATAATTAACCATGAGTCTTTCTTCTTGACTTTGTAATTCCAGTTTCCACTTATGTTTCCTTGAAAATTTATCCCTACACTTTGTATGGAATGCATTTGATTTTCAAGAAAAGTTGGATTCACATTCTAGTAATGATAAGATTTGCCATTTTCTTGATGGTTGAATGTAAAACCTATTTGATGGTCCTGTCTCCTTATTCTTAAATATGTCGAAGGAATTGCAATATTGGAGAAAAAAAATCTAAGACTGTAATGACAGTGTTGAGTTATTCTGTCCATTTTGCTTCGTTTTTTTTTTTTGTTAAGTCTCTTCATTTCGAATTCAAAATTTAGTCGTTTTGTAGAATATTTTGCTGAAATTGGGAAATTCTCTTGAATAGATTCAACAGTGTACCTTATATTGAGAATTGAGCAGGCCTCTCTCAACGGCTAAATTTAACCAATGATTACAAAGTGGACATAAAAGATCTCCCATTACATTAAGGGATTTAATAGGTTAATTTTTACCTGGCAGCAAGAACTTGGAGGTGAATTATGACAAGGACGTTGTTTATCCCCAACACTACAAAATATACAGGATGAGTCACGTAACTTTGGTACCTGCACATTTTGAACGCGAACGTTTTCTTGGGCCCTCGCTTCGCTAAATGCGAGAGGAGTGGAGTTAAATAACTAATTTTGACAAAGGGAATTTTACGTCAAATTTGTAGTTTATTTTCCATGCAAAATAGTTTTTAACATACGGGAGCGAACATTTCTCGTTACCAGATTTCTACAACGCTCGTTGCTATCATTTATTCTTAATCCACTAATGTTGGGAAAGGAGTGGGGGTAGAAATTCCGGGGCTCAAGAAAACGTGCGGATATAATATCAACCAGGTATCCCCCAACGGAGCACCGCCCCAACCGGGACATGTTCTCAGCTCCCGGCATGGGTGGTAGTGTAGTGCATGTTAGTCTAAGGGGTGAGAATAGGACAAAGAAGCGGTAGGAAAGATCGCGCAGGAAATTGTCCGCACGTTTTGGTGTCAAACCTTGGCTGTTCTCTAATTTTCTGGCAATATTTGTTAGAGATGTCTTAGAAACCAGACTTTTTTTTAGCGATTTGAGTTTGTGAAGGATTTGAAAATCTCATTAGACACTTAATTTCTCCAGTTTTCTTTGGAGACAGATAATTTGGCCTTCTCAATATATATAAAAAAAACAACCAAACAATAATATAGATTTAGGTAAAGTAACACAAAAAGCTATACAAAATTCAAATTTATAAAGCAGAAACGTTAATATTACAAAAATCTATGATAAAAAGAAGAACCATAAACAACTCGTACTTTTCGCAAAAAGAAATATTATTCCCCAAGAAAAATCCGCAGGCTGTCGCTTCTGAAACCAATGTGGCCACCACTCAAAGGGCCAATGTTGGCACAGGAAAAACTACTGTGTAGTGGTGCTACAGAATGGCACAGACTTTACCGTATTAGTTTTTTATTTCGTTTGGTCTCGGTTAGCTATTCGAACTTGCCACATATTCTTGCCTGCTACCATCTATCGCCGCTTAAAGTACATTTTTTGGTTTCCTAATAGTAGAGCGGAATATTATTTTAAGATTATTAAAGAACAGTAAAACCTCATACTAAATGGCAATTTTCTTTGAAAAATGTGGACACTTTTGAAAAAAACTGGTCTTTAAGCGATACTGTAAATTTGAAGCTCTTTTTCACAGAATATTTTGAGTTTTCGAAAAACTTCGTTTTAAGTCATTTTGAGTATATAAACTCACAAATACGATAGTGTTTACAAATGGCAGGAAATGTGCATATTAACGGCGTGAGCTATATCTTTCAAAAAAAGAACATGTGTAATTAAAAAAAAAAATACACCGAAGTTAACTTTACGTCATATTAAAGACTGAAATTACCACTATCCGTTCGAAATGTTTGAAGAAAAATTTGGAGCCGTTTTTGAGAAAATAGCTTTTGAGCGTTTCTGAAAATGCAGAGTGTTGTGCTAGTTTTTTTTACAGAAAACAGAGTTTTCGAGAAACTTTATATGACATTATTTAAAGAACATGTACTCATAAATACAGTAATGTGAACAAATTGCTGCTAGTATAAATATTAACGTCATGAGAGGCAAGTTTGAAAAACAACACTATAGAGCAATATGAAGTTTATGTCATCTTATATAGTGCATTTAGCACTATGCCTACCAAAGAAAAAAAAATAGAGCCATTTTTGAGAAAATCTTGTTTTTGTAATTTTTTAAAATTGCACACAGTGCACGCAATTGCGCGAAAACGACAAAAACTTTCAAAAAAATATACATTATCTTAATGAAAGAACGCACTATGGAGAAGAAATTTATTTGAAGGAAAATCTTTGTCTTCAATTTTATAGTTGTAGAAAGACGCGTGAAAAATGTAGAAATTTTCGAAAATTCAGTGTTAAACCTGAAAATCGAACCTATGTCATCTTTATAAATGTATTTTACTCGTCTTACAAGACATTTATTGAAAACATTTATAGCAGTTTTTGAGAAAAAGCCCGGGAGCTTCTTGTAAAGTAACCTCAAATTTTCAAGATTTTTTTTTCAAAATCTCACAGATTGAACTCGACCCAGGTTTCTTACATTTGGAAAAAATCCTGGGCATGGTTTAGGCGCTAGTAGTGTTCACAGATTCCAAACGGACAGAAGGACGTTTAAAAAAAACAACAGTTTTTCGGCATCAGGGGACCTGATACCGAAACGTGTATTTTCGTTGAAACCTCGAAATCGATTTTCCGGAGCATTACATAACTTTCGCTAATACTACGTATATTACTCCGTATATACGTTCGTATACGGGAAAGTAAAAATTGAATAATCATGAATCCAAATATTCATGAAAGAGTTTCCACTAGTGAAAAAAAAATCAATTGATTGAGATAGTTACAAGTTTTACCTTAAAAATGAGGGGGAAGCAAACAAACTTTGAAAGTTTGGGAGTGATCCCAATAGTATGGTCAGGGACTGTAAATGGAAATGAAAGAATAAAGAAATGGACTGTCGATACATATTTATCGCGCAACAAATGGTGGTATTTCTATCCTGGTGCTCATGTTGAATGTAGAAAATGAAACGTTGGATTCTCCTCTATTAAATTATGTGTAGTAGGTATCTCTATTTATTGTCGTTCATTGGTGGTAGATATTTGAAATCTGCTCCTTTTTTAATCATTCTGTACATGTGCTGGTAAACATTACCCTTCCTGGAATTACCTATATTTCATTTTTATGTCAATCTTGATTTGAGAGATTGCATTCATTATTAGTGTGTGCACATTTTTGTCAAAACATTTTTGAGAGGAATTCGAAAGGAGCAATAAAAAGAGGCATTAGACACCCGTGCATTCAGTCTGCACGCCACGTCCTTCCCACATGCAGTTGGCAGGCTGTCTCCCTCCCCGGAAACCCCTATTTGATTTATTCTTTGCTTTCCTCCAAGAATCGAAGAATTGATACGCAGGATGTTTGCAATCTGAAACGCCTGATTAGGCAACGTGGGAGAAATTTCTACGAATACAGTGGGCTTAAACCTGTTTAGATTATATTATGTGTGCACAAAAATATATATTTTCATACCAAGTATGCTTCTCCTGAATTTTATCAAAAAAAAATTATAGAGGAAATGATACATTGTTTATTTTAATTGTATATTTAAGTGCATATTTCAGAATTTTTAGGTCATCAATGCATGTTTTTAAAAGTATATTTGAAGTTTTTGAGGGCATAAAAATCCTCTCACTAATTATAGCTCCAAATTAATGTTCACGTCTTCACAAAAATCTGATCGGGGGTCATTGACCCTGAAGCACATTATTTGATACAAATATATTAAGTCTTTTTTAAAAAAATGTATACAATACAAATGTAAACTAAACAACTTAAAATAAACATTAGTTTTCTTTTTGATAATCAGTATAGTTTCTAATTGTATAGAAACAGTTATGCAGCTGAAAAGATCTTACTTTTAACTTAAATTTGTGAACCGACTTCAATTGTTTAATGTCATCTGGCATTGCGCTATGAAGTAACGACGTGGATTTCTGATAGTGAGCTGTTGATACCGACACTAGATGAACGTGATTTTTATGACGTGTGTTGTAATTATAAATATCTGTATTGCATAAAAATATGTTAAGTAAGTCACTTTTGATAAATATTACATATTCGTAAATATATAGGTAAGGCAGTGGTAAATTTCTAAGCTCAATGAAGAGAGACGTGCAGGGATTACGCGGATGACATTTTTTCATTATTCGAATACTTTTCTTTTGCCAACTAAAGATCTGAGTACTACGCGATGAGTTTCCACCAAAATTTATGCCATCTCAGGCGGGAATGTACATTTGCAAAATACACCCAACGAGCTATAATGAACTTAATTTAGTGTTTAATTTTGTTATACGAATACTCCATTTGAGGTTTGACTGAATTGAGAGACCTAGAAATTTTGTTACCTGATATCAGCTAAATGCATATTTTTCATTTTCAATGGAGCATGCGATTGCTGATTTGAAATGCAAAAATGCATTGAAACTGTTTTTCCTTCTAACTATTAATTTGTTATTACAAAACCAAGCTGAAATCGTACTATACATTTTTTCTTTTTGCAAAGAACATTCTTGTCATCGGCAAACAGAACAGTTTTTAATAGACGACGGCATATCGTCTACATGTAACAGAAAGAGGATAAGATCGAGCCTTGCGGGAATTTATTTCGAGCTGCCTTTGAAGCAAATCAGCTGTGTTAGTGTAAGGGATAATAGGATAACGAAAAGGAAAGATCGCGCGCGGTCCGTGTTTCGGAATTTCTCCGGCATTTCCCTGGTGTTGATCCGAGAAACCACGGAAAACTACCGATCAGAGCAGCCGGCCTCTAGACAGTTCTCTAGACAGCGACTGGATTCGACCTAGCTGACAAGCTAGTGTAGAAAACCTTGACACTGTCGGGACTCGAAACTAGGACCTCCAAGTCAGAGACACTGCAGTACCACCAGTTGATGAACTGAGCCACCTCCCCCGATATTTAACACATTTAGGGACATAAAATACTTTGATAGGCGAAGCCCCTTTCACACTCCCCCCCCCCGCAATGTGCACGTATTTGGACGGTACTTGTGTGATGAGTGGTGAAACTGGTGGCGTTCACGCAAAAAATAAAATTGAATTAAAAAAATAGTAAAATAATAAAAAGGTGTTTTATTCTAATGCTCATCACTTATTCTGCAATGCGCAGCAGTTTAACTTACGGTAGTTAACATAAAAGAACTACTTCTCAAAATCGTTAAGAGATTTTTTCCCCAGTTCCCCTAAGTTCTCCAAGCTACAGTTCAGTGACGGGAATTGTTAAAGTAGTATTGTGTTCTTAACAGTAAATTTATTAGTGATAATGAATAAACAAACAAACAAAAAACGTATGTCCCAACTTCCATTTCTATTTTATCGGGGGTTCCCCTTTCATTATTGCTGTGAAAAACTTGAACATTTAGGTCTAAAGTACTTCAAAATTATTAAGGATGAAATTAAAGTTTGATCATTTCAATACTCATGGTACAACTACAATAAACATATAATTTGGTGGAAGTAATGTTATGGGAAACAATATTATGCTTCATTCCATTAAATGTGTTTTGAAATAAAATCGATGATAATAGCGATTTTCAAATTTGTACGAATGCAATAAAGCAACATTGAGTTGCATATGCAATTTTTTTTGTGTGTGTAAAACAGCATTATACATTTATAAAAGAATCAAAATTAATTTTAGGAACAAAAACAGTTTTGCCATTGGCAATACATAGGCATTGGTACTATGATGTCATGCAAGGTCTGGCAGGGGTCGGAGGTGACATGAAATGCATTTTATGAATAATTTCTTCCAACAGAAATGTTTAAAAATGTCAGTATCACTACAAAAAAATATTTTGTTGACTACACAGGAATATCCTCCAACTGAATTCTACATATTTTTGAATGTTAATGAATATTTTAATAATAATAAATAATATTTTTGAATGTTAATTTGAATGCAACACAGCATATTGATCAAAATAAATTTTAACTCATACCCTTTAAAAAGTATAAATTCTATGCAGTGAAAATTCCAGGCTTGTGCAATAAGCACTGTTAATTCATCCATTCTACACCCGAGATCTGAACCAATATTATACATGAGTAAATAATGAAAAGCAAAAAAATCTATAATGAATTACGTTAGCACGCATATTGTGAAAAAGAATTTGCACGAGGACCAACATTGAAAAACTGTATTGTTTGCATTATATAAAATTTATCAAAAGCATTTTTGAAAGCAAAAATATTTTTTCAGCATGGTACATTTAGTTTGATAGTCAAGAAAATTGCATGAAGATCTACATATGAGAAATGTTTGATTCTCTCTGAGCAATTTGTTGAGATTTTTCTAATGGAAATTTTTTAATAGTAAAATACAAAATAAGCATTAAAAATATAATTTCATAAATAAATTTTTGAGCATAACAAGTAGGTTTGTTGCAAACAATGTGAACAAAATCAAAACCTTACTATTGGAGGTGTCAGAGAATCAAGAATTATATAAAGTGGATTATTTCAGGTTTCAATCTGGGAGGATTTTTCATTCTATTTGACTGAGGCCCACCAAGGGAATGAAAGTGTGTGAAGGTCTAATACAAATATGTATGTTCCTCTCTGAAGGTTGTAAATTTTCTCATGCACATGACAATCCAAACCATAATGCTCAAGGGTAGCAATTACATTTTTGGGTTCTGTAACACAAATTTACGATCAACTAAAATGAGTAATATTGTTACTGTTATGTAGCAACATCAGCAAATTGCCTTTATTTGCATTTCTGGATCTAACAATAAGAGCAATTGCAATTCACCTAATAACAATTTTACCACATCAATCAGAAATTATTCACCTTACACAGCACAAGTAACAATCAATCATCCATTGTTTGGGTACATTCACTTTCCCAAACAGTTTATCACAGTGTCTTTCTCATGCCATTGGGATAACACATGGGCGTGCAATGAAATCATTCAAAACAATGCCCACAATCAATTTAAATTAATGGCACTCGATTTACACACTGAACAGGTGCAAGATACTGGGGTGCCAAGTAGAACACTGTCCAAAAGATTTCCCCTCCCCAAATTTTATTTTTTGAACATTTTTAATTTCTTTATATTAAATACTTCAAAGGATCATTACTACAAAGGATTGTTACAACAATTTAAAACTAAATGGGAAAATATTTAACAATTTTTTTTTTTATTTCGGAAAAGATTTTATACCTTTTAAGCAGGTTCAACTTTTTTTTTAAGCACTAAGCTTTTCTTTCAAACATAAACCTCATAATTCCTTTAAGAGATTTAGTTATTTAATGAATATGTACAAGTAGAGATGAATTTAGCTTTTCATGTTTATTCTATCTGCATTCATTTCAGGACTTAATTGTTACATTTGAACTGGATAAAGTGAAAAATTGAATGGTACACAAGAATATTAATCATAAATTTCACAAATAAAATGGTAACTTCAGTTTGTTCCCTCAAGAGCACGTTGTTTGGCATTCAACATTATCTTGAATCTTTCTTCATATACTAAGTGGCTCAAATAATGTAAGTAAACACATTTCTCTTTCCAATCATCCACTGCATCATGAAAATATAATTTTTATAAGAATAAACATTAATACATATAAATGGGGCAGGGTGATTGTAAAGGTTAAGAGATGGACGACAGGGACTGTGAAAATATACAGAAAAATTATTTATTATCACTTCAACAAAGCAATTACAATAAACAATTACTTTATGGTTGATAACTGTGGGCTTCTGCTTTTATTATCAACACTGCTATGGTGATGCTTTGTTCTTTTTCTGATTCCCAACAAATCAACAGCATTCACTTACAAGATTTTTTGGGAAAAGTCTCGTATCAATCTCTCATGCTGTCACTAAATGGTAACACTTGGAAGCTTCATTTACATCCTGGAGTCTTTAGCCATGACAATTTTCACTTGCCCAATATATATATATATATAATATGTATGTATGTACGTGTATGCATGTATGTGTGTGTACATATATAATATACACACACACATAAATTTCAGATACAGAATGGATCACACAAATAAATATATCTCTGATGACAACTATCAATGGTAATATAACAAAACTGAACACTGACACTGAATATTTCTGATGAATTTTATCTTAGAAAAGTGTTTCCATGGAGTTGTAAAACAAATGTATCATTCTTCAAAAATTATGGAACATACAATTCCCTCACTCACTGTTAGTGGAAGTATTTGGATACATGAAACCACGGTGAATGGATTGTTTGTAGTATCTACATGTCAATGAAGATTTTAACAGAATGGTTCATTTCATAATTACCAGAGTACCCCAATTAATGAATGATACAATAATCTTTAAAATTTGTTATCCAAAATTAAAAACTGAACACAAAATATATAACACATACAGTGAAAGCAACAATATTATTTTCTCTAGAGCAAATCTGAAAGAAAGAAATTAAAATAACGATTGACACACTTTCACACACGCACACACACACACATGCATGCAACTGCTAAGATGCTCACATTATCAGTGGCCATAAAAAGGTAATCTAATCTGTCTAGCCTAACAATGTGCATTTGCACATGTACATATTTCTGTGCACCTTTCCACCCTGTAACACATACCCACCCATTCACACATTTACATGCATGCCCACAGAAAAGAGCCTGTGGAACCAAGATTTATAAGAAAGACAGTGTAGACAAATCATTGGCTTATGAATTCATGATAGAAAATAATAATAATAATTATTATAATAATAATAATAAAGATCACAAATAATTTACAATATAGCTAACAAGCAACATTTCAAAATACATCCATCTGACTTAACAAATGAAAATAAGAATTACATATTGTATACACTGAAAACAAGTTTTGTTATCAGAACAGATAAAGAAAATTCTTTTATCTGACACTCTTTGAGACACTGAGGTTCAATGCCTTTATAAGGTTTTTCATAAGGTATATAACACACGGCCACATAGTTATTTCTATCCTCACACAGGAAATCAAAACTTATCTCCTTGACTTTCATGGTCAAACAATTCCTTCACAAATTTACAATCCTGACACCCACATACTATACATTAATTTTCAAAACATTTACCAGAAGATGGAGGACAGGTGTACAAGGATAAATAGATACATATTTCAATCAAGTCTTAAGCACTGCCATTTACAGAAGCAGGTATTCTGCCATCGAGCTTTGATCTTTCCACAAAGACTAAAGGATTTACAAAGGATGAACTATAGTATATTGTACATAAAGTATTAAGGCCACCGAATGAAAAAGAGAATGTAGTTTCACTACAACCTTTCATTACTCTGATTAATTTTTTTACTTTTTAGGTTATGACCTCTATTCCTGTCAAGACAGATGTATCCTGGAGCTCAAGGCAGAGATGATATGATGACTGCAGTAGGAACTGCGAAACTTTCTCTCTTGATAGGCCTCTGTAGACATTTTTGTCCATCATTTGGATACTGGATAGTCCGAAGAGACAGTGGGACAAAGATCTTGTGCACTTGTGAGCAATGGAAGGAAATATCCGTCCAAAGTCTTGTACCATAACATCCGAGACTTCACCACCAAATTAACATTTTCCAAAATTACAAACTGGGAACTGCTTCAAATGCTTTGTATCAGGTCAGGCATTGAGTTATACACAGTTTGGGTTGACACACATTATCTGGTCTGTTCCTGCATTCTTACAGAAGAACACAAATAGCCTTCTTTCTTGGCTTTGGTTTCTTTTCTGGAGATTTCTTATTAATTTGTCTTACTAAATCATAAAATATCTGGAAAAGGTAAAACAGTAAATTGACTTTCAGTGTTACTTAAAGACCTAAGACATTAAAATGTGAAAGTGAATATTATTACAGTTACATAGATCAGTGCCGTAAGCACTGGACGTACATGAAGATATCAATTCAGGGTAAAGGAAACTGCATTTAAAGTACCTAGATTGACTTCTGTGAAAGAGTTATTCATTTACAATTTTATACGCAAGTGCATCTGCAAATAGTTTTTAAGATGAAAGATAAAAAACATGAAAGATTTTTAAGGTCAACTGATTTAAATTTCAACAAAATAGAATCAAAATAATTCCCCAACATGTTTTCTCATGGCTAACTAAAATATTTATGAATTTATAAACAAGATGTTGCACTGCAACAAATAGTATAACACACTAAATAATGAATAAGTACTTCTCCGCACTTGTTTGGTTTTTGAAGACGGGGATATATCCCTCTCCAGCACCCCATACCAATTGCTCTCCTGTCACCAACTACTTCTGTTTATATTAAGAGATCAGAGGTTTCTTACTATTACTGGTGCACTTTCAGTCTTAAAGTATTCAGTCTGCATATTTAATCATGATTTTGGGAAAATTATAAATGTTTAATTGAAAAATGTGCTACTTTCATAGCTCTCATTCTGTGGGAAAAAACAAACACAATGACATTGCAGACTGTAGTTTCTAGTCAGACCGCTGTGCATTTGATATCTCTGTACCTATCCAGTGAATGCTCATCGTTCACTCCCAATTTCAACTTCATCATTATTTTATATCAGCGTCTTCCCCCAGAAAGAGAGAGGGGAGAAGTAAACGGGATGATGGAAGAGAGAGGTAAAAAAAAGAAAGAAAAAAGAATACAAGAGGTAGTGATAGGCACCAATGAGTCACGTAACTTTAGCACTTCCTATAATTATTAAACGGTGAAAGGTATTGCAATGCAGTTTTCACAAAAGTGCATGAGGGAATGGGGCTAATTGATGTATGCATTCATTTGATTTTTTATCACTTGTATTTTAAGAGATATCTTTGTGTTTTTCAAATGGAACTATGAACATTTTTTACTCTATCATGATGAACGTAAAAAGACGAATACAGTGATATATGCATTGTCATATGTGAGATAAACAATTTTTGAGTAATACTGATTTTTGAGACTCTCTGTTGGGAACTGACAATATGTTATTATTGTATTAGTCTTTTGACACTCATCATGATAGACTAACAAAACATATAAAGTTCCATTTGGAAAAGTAAAAGAAAAGAAGAAACAACAACAACGTTACCTCAATATCTCATAAAATACAAGTTATAAAATGGAAACAAATACGACATCAATTAGCCCCATTCTCTCCTGCTCTTCCATGAAAACTGCATTGCAATAACTTCATCCATTCAAAAATTACAGGTTCACAATTTCTATTTCACAATCACAATTTCTATTACATTGGTCAACAGCATTTTTCACAGGTATGATCAGTGTTGTTACTCAAGTCGTGGATGCTGAATAAGAAAATTAATTATTTGCCAACTGAGCTCAGTTTTCTTGTGATATGCTACACTATCAATTGCAATTTTTCAAAATTCTGCATATTGATTATTCTGCTGTGGCATAATTTCATTATCATGCAGAAGTAAACAATGAAAAACATTCTATATTCAAAGAATTGTCATACATCGACCTTCAGATGAAAAATACACCTTTAGGATAAGGAGACTACGAACTTCATAATGTGTAACTAGCGCAAATCTTTTTTTTGTTACCTGGGGAAAAGTAACTTTGAAATCGCAAAAACTAAAATTTAATTCCCTAGTAAATAAATGTTATTTGGATGCAAGGTTGACAATCAAGATAAGAAATGGTTCCCCACCTTATGCTAATTGACATGTGTTGCACTACTGACAGCCTATATAAAATGATCATGTCAGATGCCTTTTGCAGTTTCCATGATTAACGGTAAAAGAACAGACAACACAATAGACTGTGATTACACGTAGAAGACAGAAGGAGATATTCATGCTCACCCAACATTTCAAGACTCCTGTGAAACAAATGTGCCACACGTTCTGGCCCAAAGAGGATCTGAATGATCTTGCACATGATTTAAATTTGTTGAAGCAAAAGCATATGCTTATTTTGCAATGAAAAGAATGGAATCTTATTTCCAGTGGATAGCATATTTTTAATGATCTCCAAGCTGGTTTTTCTAAAATTTTCTTCAAGATGGTGACAGAATAAATGACTCCAGGGAACCAAAAATTTGAATATTAATGGCTGATGAACACTTAGCTGATTTGTTGAGGGATGTCGAACAGATGGCATAGCTGTTTTTCACATGTGTCGGCAAGATCTTTTTATCCAACTATAAGGCAGAGAACTATCACAATATCATACATGAACTATTGATAATCACCATTGCATTGGGATATAACATGTCACTTAAACTACATTTCTTGAATGATCATTTGGGCTTTCACCTAGATAACAGGATGGTGTAAAAGACAAATTATGCAAACAGTTCCACCATAATATTTATCAACTGGAAAATCTTTCTCAAGGCAATTTGAGTATTGGAATATTGTTCAATTACTGCTGAACCTTATGAAGATACTGTGGCACAGTATTGCAGGAAATTGGGATGAAAATATTTTTAGGTATGTTTCTTTGCTTTAATGTTGTAATTTTGGTAGTTTCTGTTTGGATCTCTTGTTGCAAGAGCATCTTCTTTTTGCGAGATACATGCAATACATAGGAACATATAGTGCTAGCATGAATCTGAACACACACGAAAAATGAAACCAAGACAGAAATTCTGCAATTAGATCTGGATTCAGAGGTGAATTTTCCAGAAACAGCAGGTTTTGTTCTTGTAACAGAAAAAAAGGAATTTCTCCCCTCTCTTTTTTTGTAAATCAGTGTTATTAACATGGAAACAAATTCTATGAAAGAATAATAATAAGAAATAATAACAAACCCGAACTTACATCATTTACATTTATTTTTGCTTTGGCTGAGGTCTCCATGAAGGCGCAATTAAATTGTCGAGCAAGGTTTACACCTTGGTCCTTCCCAACAACACGTTCGTCTTCTAAATCACATTTGTTGCCCACTAGCACCATGGGCACATCATCAGTGTCCTGTAAAAAACAAAATATATCAGAATTTATACTCTTCAATAATATGAACAAGCAAGGTGTTAATTTTGAAGACTACAATAATAAAATGTTTAATCAGCACTTCCTACATTCATGAATTTTAAAAAGTAAAATTATCATCAAAGTACTGTTTTCAATGCTTTCAAGTCTTAGACACTATCTTAAACATTGAAAATAATTTTTGCTATCTGCTGCATTGGTTCTGAAGTTATTAAATGTTGTATACATGAGCTGTTCTCTCTAATTTTCCCTTATCTCTGAAAACCCACAGCAAGCCTCTTTTGGGCGAGGCAGTATTTAAGGTTATGCAAGAAGATTAATCGCCAAAGTTCAAAGCTGGGCATTTCATCATGATTACTCTTAAGCAGTAGGTTGTCTAAAATAATTGATGCAGTGGATAAATTGAACACTGTTCTCATAAAGGAAAGAAGAATGGAGCCGGGAAAAGAGAATCACTAGATAAATAGATGACTTTCGTTAGGAAATTCAGTGAAAAATTTAGTAATTTGCCACATTACAATGCCTAGCATAATGAAAAGCAGGACAGACAAAAACGGTTTTCATTTCATACATACTTCTCAGTAGCAGCCTATTTAAATTACTATGCATACAACAAAAACAAATTTTTCATCTGATTTACAAGGGAGAGTGGATGTACAATGTCATTGCCTCTGCATAATTCCAAACTGTGATGAATGAATATATTATATTGAATATATTGATGAGATAAGCTTCAGATGATTAACACCAATGATGTTTGATATAACTGCATAACAACTTGTAAAATTTATATATAACAGCAAATGGTTGTGATACATAGTACAACTCATTACCACAAACTTCAAAATTTTATGCATATGTTTAATGAGTGCTCTATTTCATTTATTGTTTCAAGAATGATAAAAAATAACACATAATTGAGTACAATTCACAGTATTAACTTATTCTTATTCCCTGAAAATTTAATAATGAGGTATTAAAGTCATGGGAAATTGCTTGCATGTTGGGTAAAAATTGGTTAACAATCTTTCTATGATGATATCCATGAAACCATAATTCCTTTCATGGAAATCTGGAACTATGAGTTCGGCAAGTGTCCTTAGTTTTAGTGCATGCAAAAAGAGTATTTTGGGACACTGATATATAATCAACAAATATACTTTTCAGGTGTATTGACTGAGGAATACACACACATTGAAATTATTTTGAGTGCAGCAATCAGAATGAGAAAATTAACAAAGATAGGAAAAATAAATGGGACAATTTGTTAGAGGTGTGACATTTGTAAGAGAATTTGTAATAAATAAAAATTGAGGGATCTTCACAGTATCATGATGTAGACAAATGTAATCATGGCAGCATGAATGCAAGTTTGATCATGGCGAATGCATTATACTTGGCATTCCTATCATATTAAATCTAAAGAAGACAAAATTATAAGTGAAAGTGTCTGCTGCCACAGGCGGAGTCTGTAGCTACTGGCTGTAGGCTTTCCAAGAGACACTGTGTCCTAGGCACAGGGGACAATGCTTCGGCTTCCATTCTGCGACCTTTCTCAGGGCGAAATGTCAATCGCATCATAATTTCATCCTGAAGAAAGTTGCAGAATGGCAGCCGAAACATTGGCACCTGTGCCTAGGTTGAGGTGTCTCCAGGACAGCCAAATAGTTACTAAAATTATAAGAAGTTAATTATCTTTCCAGATAGGTGGATGTAGTCCTTGTTTATAAAAACAGTACAAAGATGTGTATATCTTACACTGGGTCAGTTGAAATGTGCAACAAAAAGGTCACAAAATTTGAGGAAATGGATTATGTAATCCTTGACAACTAAGTATTTATGTAAGTGTAAAAGAGACAATTATATGAAACCTTTGCAAGTATTTTGGAAAGAAAGTTACATGTATGTACATGAAAAGGAAGTTCTACATAAAACTAAACGTAGAACATATAGTTTTAATGGCAGGCTGTCAGTGAGTGTTAACAATGACATTGACACCAAAGAAGTACAGTATATATACTGAAAATCAAGGATTTGGATGTAAAATACGATAACTTGCACAGATATGCGAGATATTTGAGACAAAAATGACATGAACATTTTGATATCAGCAGGTTTTTTAAAAAGGCATCGATTGGGGGCCACATATATATACTTCGAATTCTCGCAAACTGGACACTAGATGGTGGGAGGCAAAAATTATAGTATCAAAAGAACTAAAATTTTAAGGGTTATTATTTTTTATGTGAAAGCCCTTCACATCACAAAGTCATTAACCAATGTAATGACAGTGGTTCACTGAAGTAATTTAATTGTTTTTTTGTTTTGTTTTTTTTTTTACTTTTTTTCCCTTTGGGAAAGAATACTTTAAACATAAGTTAAAAAAAGTTTTCCAGAGTGTGAAAGACTCTTGGTTTTCAATAATTTTTTTTCTGATAATGTATTTATTATAATAGTATTTATAGTAATAGTATAGTATAGTATTTATTGTAATCTGTATTAAGCCAACAAATTTTATTTTTTGTAACATTCAAAACATTAACATTTCATCATTATTTATCAAACTGCCTTGAAGAAATTGGAACTTGTAAAAATATGAGTTTTGAAAAACGGTTCCCAACTGTATTCATACCGCAGTCAAATTAATTCTAAAGCTGGATACAATTAGTTCAATATTAATTTACTTCCTGTAAATGAAACAAAAGGCTAACCCCAGTTTTCCTTAAATGCAGGCTTGGCTAAGTTAATTGTGCAGTCCACTGAACGATTTTATATTACTAATATGATGTTTTATTTCTTGTATGTATGAAGAGGGAAAAAAAATAAAAAATAAAAAAGAAAGAAAAATCAGAAGAATAAATATTTCTGCTACCTATTCAAGAACACCTCTTTGTAACCATAATTTTAATTTCCTGAAAAGGCATTAGAAAATGCCAAAATTTCAGCATTATTCTCAATTTAGACATAAAATTCTTAATTTCTTCATTCACTTTAGCATTTTAGTGATTCATGATTTTCTTTTGAATATGGTAATATGTTGAAATTGAAAATAATGTCAATAAGAGTAAAACAAAAATTAAAGTAATACCTAGGTCAGAGTGCAAATTGGCAAATGTGCCGAATGGGAGACATTTAAAAACTTTGGGAGACAAGACATTAATACTTTTCCATCCAGAGGAGCAGGCAATCCCTGGCATAAAAATATTCCTACAAAACGATTCGAAACAAAAGTTCTTAGAATAAAAATAATACAAATCAATAGTAATAAAAGTTCTTGCAAATTGTAATAAATGCTCATGTGTTTAAAATGAAACCCACGGTGATAATTTTTACAAAGCTAATAACAGAACTGATATCAATTTAGTGAATGTTCTCAAAAAAACATGGAAGCATTTTCCCCTCAATTTGTCGTCAGTTAAGGATGAAAGCCTGGCCAATCTTTGCAAATTCATATAGTAAACCTGTAATCATAAATAAAAAAATAAACGTGTGCTTAGAAGAAAGTAGGACATAGATGTGTCTCAAATATTGATGTTCATAGCAGCATATGGAAATACAAAAATTCATGTGCCCTATCAGCTTACAACATATGCACATCTAAGAATTCATTTTATGAATCATGCATTAAAAAGCTGACAGTAAAGCAGAACCTGGTTTAAAGACATCTGGGGCCATATATTTTTGTCTCTTGTAGATGGGACCTCTTAGAAGGAGGAAATGCTATAGCTCAATATATCTTCATATAAGGTTATCCAACACTTTCAGACATAACTTGTGAAGTTCTTAACATTACAAGTAATGTCTAATTTTTCTGACATTTACAATAACTTTCTTTTCTGAGCCATCTCTGTAATACAATTAAAACAAAAACTATGTGGAGAAATCAGTGTCCACAGCAAAAGGGCATTGTTCAAAAGATCAACAAATGTATATGTACCATTTTCGCAAAAATCTCAATAAAAGTACACAATGCATGAAAATGATGAACCTCACACTTCACCAACTACTGTACAGGTCACACTGTTCCTGCTTTCCTGAACATAATAGGGATCAGGACAAGCATGAATGAGTCCTGCACTTTCCTCATGGCAATACATGGAATATGGGAGCAAATTTTCACCTTTTGCCAAACAATGATAATTCTGGAAAAATATTTCCACAGACAGGTATCACTCTTCATGCAGTTTTTTTTATCATGAGTACTTATTAGAATCAATGATTCACACAGTTCACTGCATTGAAAAATTTGCGGGTTTTAACACTTCTCTCTCAGAGGAAAAAAGACTCCTCTGGAACCAATATTCTGTGGATTATATACTTGAAACTCTTAGAGGTGGGTCTCTTACATGCAGCAAGAACATACACATAATTTATATACTAGGAATTGGGACAATCCATATTATCTCTTATAAGCAGGTTCTGATGAATGTTGCATTCCAGTGTACACAAAATTACAGGTACATTTTCATATTATCTTCTTCTTCACGATATACTGTTTTCATAAGAATAAAAATTAGAAATAAATCCCTTCCTTCAAAATAGTAATATGCAAATAAAAGAATACAAACAAGAACGTGTAGATACCACATGTTTCAAGGTGTGGATTTTTTCTAAGAATAAATCACCAATCAAACTTTGGCAATAAAAATGCATTTCCTTGAGCACAGTTTTGGAGATTTATTAAACAATTTCTTCCCCGGCATTAAAATACTTCCCTCATTTCATAAATTTCAGTTAAATACTGATATGTCCCCAATGATTGGAAAAACAGTTTTCTACAAATATTTTGATACTTAAGATAAAGCTGGACGGAATGTTGTCAATATGCAACATTAAGGGTTTTACAGGAAGAATGTGTAGAGCTTTCTAAAGAAATGTTGGTGTGTTCTCAACTAAAGCCCACTAATTTTACTGGTATGCAAAACGCAAACAATGTGAATTAATCATTAAAAGGTGTAAAAAGCAAATGGAATTTAAATGTA